CAGCCGCTGTGAGACCTAACACCTTAACATCTTGGGCCTCAGACCAGGAAATTGATGTCACAATCACAAGATGGCTACATCTGGCTCCTGATCGGGATGGTGACAGGAAGGAGAGCATAAGAAGAAAAGAGGGCATGGAGAGCGCAACAATTTGATGGATAGAAAAATACCCTTCAAGAGTAAGCTGCATCCCAATTTGGACTTTGTGTTCACTGTTAAATAAAAAAAAGTGCATTTTTCCAGTGTATGTGGAGTTATATGTGACTGCAGGACCGTCATTCATTGAGGTATGTGGGCCAAGTGTACATGCCATGTCTGCCCCAGAGCTGGGCCAGACCAATTTTGCTGACTGGGTTGTGTGTGTCTACAATACCTACTATATACACAGTGCCGTGAAAAAGTATTTGCCCCCCTCCTGATTTCCATCCATCTATCCATTTTCCGATCCGCTTTATCCTCATAAGGGTCGCGGGGGTGCTGGAGCCTATCCCAGCTCTCTTCGGGCAGGAGGCGGGGGATACCCTGAACCGGTTGCCAGCCAATTGCAGGGCACACACAGGCAAACAACCATCCACGCTTACACTCACACCTAGGGACAATTTAGACTATAGTGTTCAATCACCTTGCCATGCATGTTTTTTTGGAATGTGGGAGGAAACTGGAGAATACTGGAGAAAACCCATGCGGGCCCGGGAAGAACATGCAAACTCCACACAGGGAGGCTAGAGCTAGAATTGAACCCGGTATCTCTGCACTATGAGGTCAACGTGCTAACCACTGGCTCACTGGGCCGCCCTATTGTGGACTACAGTATATGTTATTAAAAAAAAAAAAAAAAAAAGACATCTACAAAAGAATCATTGATCTACCTGGATTCATTACCTAACCAAGATTAAAGTTATAGGAAAGGATACATTTCCTGCTCCTTTTTGAACATGTACTGTATGCATAAGCCCTTATTTCATGACTAATGACTGGGTTGACTACTGTAACTTGCTCTTGTGTCACTTTCATTGATGCTTTGCTTCTGTTGTATGTAAATAAAAACGAGAGTGAAAAAGCGATCTTAATGTAAACGCTGATAAAGGCTTTCCTTACCGAAATAGGACAGGAAATAGGGAATTGCAGCAAAGCAAGTGTGACTCAGTATCGCCAAATTCGTTGCTCCGCTTAGCAATTTTTTTTACTAGTTTTGAAAAAAAGCTAACTCGTAAACAAATATAGCAGCTTTTTGTGATGTCAAATTGACACTGTCCTCCAGAGCAAGAGATGTTCACCCCTCAGTAAAAAGGAAATGAAACGGCAATTTTAGATATCTTCTTTAAAATCGCTTGCTCGCCCAGATGTGTGTGTAAACCGTGCACTGTGTGAACTAATTGGAAAGAATTGGACCACCAGACACCCTCTTGATTGCATTTGATTTTATTTTTAAAAAAGGGTCAGAGATGACCCTTCATATATTTTAATAAGGCAATACGGCACAATGATTCAGGTTTCCGTTTCAGCATTTGTTTTTGGTTTTGTTCGGACTGAATCATATGCAAAAGGCTGGGCCAAATATTGTATCATTCTTAACGTCTTCCATTTGAAAACAACAGCTGGGACAAAAAAAAAAGGGTAAACAATTACACAAAACCTCACATCAAGTACATACCAATATATAATGTCAGAAAAGATGAGCAGATTATGATTACTTTCTAAAATATTTTTATTCTCAGTGATATGCAAGAGTAAAATCCAGTTGTGTTGGAATGTCAATTAAAATTTATACCATTACCGTCTTGCTCAGTGAGGAAAAACATGGAGCTGTGACTGATCTCATTGACGAATAGATAGCTGTCAGTTTGCTACTCCTTCAAAATGTCCTGAAATGCTCCCAGACACAAAATTCAGCAGAGCCTCATGCAGTCCTGGGTGGCAGCCTCTGTTTGTAGATTCCAGCCAACGCTTTGGCAGCACTATAGATCATCTGCCGTTGTGTCATCCCAGTCATCGCCAGAAGCCATTCTGTTTTATCTACATTGGGCAGGCTGCGCTCCAGGACGTCACCTACTGTGACCATAAGACCGGACCATCGAAGGCTGTAGTCTGGAGGGGTCAGGGACTGAGCCTGGATGCAGATGACAAACACATTGTACATCTTGTTAGCAAAACAACCAACATCACCATATTAGTCTGCAGTTTGACCATTTTGTTCTGCGGTGATTAACATTTCAAAAATGCATTTCTAAGAAAAATGCCTGTAATAAGAAATTGGACCTCAATGAATTAAACACACTAGTTGGAAAAAAATAATGTGAATTCGCCAAGCAAATACAGACCAATGAGCAGAAACCTAAATCATTAAAGTGTGTAGAAAAAAAAATAAGACACTTCCTTGTGCCAAGTAGTGTGTAGAGCTTTTCTGTGCCTGTACACCTTCAATGTGTGAAGTGTTTTCATTCCTTTCATTTCATTCCTTTCTTCAGTCATTTTAATTATACTCACCTCACAAAACAATACCAAAATTTTGACTGAAACAATTATTACTTTCTTCCATTTTTTTACAATCAGAAGATTTTACTGATTCCAACATTACAGACATAGAGCAGGGATAAAATAACCAACTTGACTGAGGTTTGTCCCTTCTTTTGTCTGTGAATGTATTCTTGGGTGTTGAAAGACAGCCTTTGTGGCCATTTATTCTTCGTGACATGACAAACACCCTTGTAATGAAGAGCTCACCCGTTAAATGTATCAGCAACAAAAACAGCCACAATGTTAGTGTAATCGAGTCCCACGCTGTCCATGTCATAATATATATCAGCTGAGAAAAATAGGTGAGGTTAGTTGCCCCATGTTTTCGCAAGGTACCACTCACGATCTACAACTGTCATTTATTGTATACTTCCACCGGACCGATTTTAGTACCCTATTTTCTGCACTATAAGACGCACCTGAAAGCATTCAATATTGCCAATAGCCGACAGTGCGCCCTGTAATCTGATGTGCCTTATATATGGTGTAAATTAAAGTCTCTTTATAGTCCCCAATGAGTCGTTTCCTTGTTGGTGTTCCTCTGCCATCTAGTGGTGATTAGCAGGAACCAATTGTAACGTAAAAGGGGTCTGTCTGCCCAACGTGCATTTGCCAACACATATTCAAACAGACAACTACTTTGTGAGCTCTGCGCAGCCATTATGACACGAACATAATACCAAAAGCATAGTTAGCTACTGACTAAATCGGGGGTCGGCAACTCACGGCTCCAGAGCCGCATGCGGCTCTTTAGCGCCGCCCTAGCGGCTCCCTGGAGCTTTTTCAAAATTTTTTGAAAATGGAAAAAGATGGGGGAGGGAGATATATTTTTGTTTTTATATGGTTTCTGTCGGAGGACAAAAATGACACAATCACTCTTAACGTTTTCCAATGCTTTAAAAATGTATAGAATAAATATTAAATGTCAACATTTCTGTCGAGGATTTGCATCATAGCCTCCGACACACGTTTCTATGAGCAGGATGGGACGGACGTCAGGCAGGTGGCTGTCGAAAAAAGAAAAAACAAAAACAGCATTTCATGTACAATTCACTGAGGGTACTGGCAAAGAATGGGAATGTGGATGGCTGAGAGAAGCATTTTAGACGGGACTCATTGGTTGATCGAAAAGTAGATCTTGCGTCAAAACTGTTTGGGCACCTCTGCTCTATAGCAGGGGTCCCCAACCGCCGGTCCGCGGACCGGTACCGGTCCGCTGGGCATTTGGTACCGGGCCGCACAGAAAGAACTTGCCTTAATTCAGTTTTATTGATTTTGGAATACGAACGATGTTTTATTTTGAAAAACTACCGGATTCTCCGTTACATCCGTCTGTGTCACGCTTGACACACATCAAGCCACGCATCTCCATCACGTGACCGATTACTTCAAAACAAAACGCAGAAGCTTGCAAAATGAGTAAAAAAAA